TTACGAATCGCGAAATATTTTTAATGCTTTATTTTTTAAATTGATCCCAGATAAATCCAATGTTTTCAAGAGAGAGATTTCTTTGGTGGTAAAGCAAGTAAATAGAGGCTAATTTTAAATAATTCTAATGAAGTTACATATTTTATTGTAACTTATAAATGTATAATTTATTCCTATTTAAACCAAAATATAGAACATAATACAAAATAATAAATACTTTACAACTTGTAAAACAAAAGACTGAATAAATCGTTTTGAAAATTGTAACGGCATTGAAAGCACCGTCAGATTGAAGATAATGAACCGAAAATTTTGATATTACGAACCGCGAAACATTTTTAATGCTCTATTTTTTAAATTGATCGCAGATAAATCCAATGTTTTCAAGAGAGAGATTTCTTAGGTGGTAAAGCAAGTAAATAGAGGCTAATTTTAAATAATTCTAATGAAGTTACATATTTTAATCTAACTTATAAATGTATAATTTATTCCTATTTAAACCAAAATATAGAACATAATACAAAAAATAAGTAGTGAGCAGCGGCGGATCCAGGGGGTGGGTCATGGGGGTCATGACCCCTCATGAGCTTGTCTTAAAACTTAGATAGAACACTAATTACTTCATAATGATTTTATTTATGTATTTTGTTACCAAACGCATTTTAAAACTTCAATATGTAACTTATTATAGACGGCAGAGTCAAACTCCTAAAATTTAAGGATTTTCTAATCGTATTGCGATTATATGTTCTATACATGATTTAATTATGTGACCCCCCCCCCTGGCGCCAAAGCTGGATCCGCCACTGGTAGTGAGTACGTTATTTTGTCTCGCATAAACAAGCTTTCTCGCTCGACGCGCCTTTTGGTAGAGTTTCAATTAATAATAATAATATTAATAATAGCCATTACAAACCTTTAAAAGCATCAGCATTTTTTGTGAAAGGTCATAATCAAAATTGGCGTACTTGCTGTCGGTCATATCATATACAAAGACGAGTCCGAACTTTTGCGTAGAGGCATCGTCTGTAGCGGCATCAAGTTGATGTACGACACCTGCGAGGGTCGTGCGATGCAGGCAAATTTCCGGGCGGTGTAAACGAGCGGTAAATACTGCAATTGCCGCCCCTTTAGTATCGCGTTCATTCTAAATTTAAAAATAGCAAAATTAGTAATATTGTAACGTATATATAGAAAATTAACCTGCTTTTCTATAAAGAACTAATAGATATTATAATGCAATAGTAATAATTCATAATTAGTTTAATATCTTATTTTTATGGACAATAAATTGAAATTATAGACCAATTTGTTTAACATGAACCAAATTTTGACATGAGTTCATGACAGAAAGGGGTATTAGAGATACTTTATCAGTTTATTAACCACTTCTAAAAGAACGAAAATGAAATATGCAAACTATACATTAGTGGTCTTTGACCAAAAGATATAATAATAAAAAATAGACTGAACAAACTGTCTGAATAAATATTTTATTAGTTTTTATTTGTATATACATTTAAGTTATCTTTATTCAGTATGATATAAATGTTTCGATTTATTTTTATTTTTAAAAAATCATATTTTATAGCCGTCTTTTCCTATTTCGAAGCTGCGTTTAGCGTTGTTAAGGGGGTATTCTAGTGTAGAAATTCAAACAAATCGATTTTTTTTATTTCATATTTTCAAATTTTAACTATCTAAGAATATGGGTACGAGAAAGTTTTTGAATATTTGAATTATTTTCGGAGATTTAGGAGATTTTCAAACAGTTGCCAATTTGTAAAAAAAAAAAATTTTACTCATCGCTAGTTTGGGCCATTGCGACATCATTGTAGATTAATAATTATTATATTAATTGTAGAATAATAATTTTGATCAGCTGAAATCATGTCAAGACTGAGATGCCAATTTTTTGTGACCCCCCACTTCATCAGCTGCCAGTTTCTTAAATTTTCAACTTTTTTTTTTAATTTTTGTATTGTATTTTAATAATATTAATACACAAATGGTAAAAAAATGGATAGTAAAAACATTCATTGCTTTCTTTACGACACTTTAAAATTGACCTAAAATTAATCGCTCTACACTAGAATACCCCCTTAAGAGAGGTATTACTGTTTAGCGCGGTCATTCAGCGGAATTAAAAATAGACTTAAATTAATTAGCACATATGCAGATAACACTATTGTTCTAAATGTCGAATTTATTCACTTACCAATTGCAAATTTAGCTAAATTTAAAAATATTATTAGAAATTTATGAACGTGTGAAACTGATTTTTCGTTGACGAATCGTAAATTGCTAAAAACACAATGAAATTGCAAAACTTTATTGACAAAATCATAAAAATTGCAAAGTGATTAATTTCGAATCATATTGCTGAATATTATACAAGTATATAATATTATTATGAAGGTTTCTTGGTTTTCTAATTCATGTTCATGTTCAATTAATTTCATAATTCATAAAAGTTGTAATTTAAGATTGACAAGAAATTCTTGATTTTAGTTATATTTCTTATTTTATTTTATATTGTAATCTGATATAATTACTCAATGTCTATGTAAACATATTATAATTCATATGTAAGTAAAAAAAATTAAAGAATATATTTTATATTGTAAAACAGTTAAAATATTGTTCGTATTTTTAAATTATATGTCAGAATAGAGAACATGAACATTATTGTTGAATATTAATAAAAATTGCAACATGAAATGTAAGTTAATAATATTGATAACATACCAAAATTGTAAATTTTCCAGTTTGTAATTCTGATTTTAAAGGCTCAGAACTTGGATCCAGGCCATCTAAACCTTCTCTGGCTCTTGTAGCTTCGTGTTGTTCATATAAAGAGACAGCCCGCGAGGTATCAAACTTCCGAGCAAACAAGAACTTGATGGCCGTTGATCGAGCGACTGATTTACCATCACGATTTAAAGATCGTATAAATTCTTGTACCGCCTATGGGATATATAAGTGATTTGTGTTATTATATGTTTATTATTAATTATTGCTGCAACGTTGCATTACTTAGTGCAATTAGATTTAGATTGCTGAAACATTGGTTTACTTAGTCCATTACTTAGTTACAAATTAGATTTTTTTTTCATAATCTCTTACACCGGAATCAGGCACACCTGCCTGACTGAGATATGAAAAATACATATTTTGCTGATAAATAAATTTAATAAATAAATAATAAAAATAATTAACATGTGGTAACTTTAAATGATCGTGAAAACCGTTGAACTTTTTACCGAAATTTCGATATTTGGAAATTTATCATTTCAAAATCTTAAACAGTTTTGATAACTTAAGTAAGTTTAACGTTTTATGGTTTGCTGGGTTGATGTTTAGTAAGTATATAATTTTAAATAAAATAATAATTGTGATATTCTTATACACTGTTACAAAAATCAAATTTTAGTAAAACTATGTTAATTTTTCTACTTTGTGCACTGCTGATAAGAATCAAATGCTTTCTGACCTGACATACACTCAAACAAAAATTCGTAAAAGACGTTACAAGTGATTTTATATATTCTGATAAAATTCGAAAGCAGACTTTTTAATCTCTTTTCCAATATTATTAAATACATGAATCATTAAAAAAACTGTTTTATTTTGAATTATATAATTGTATTAGTTTTAATTTTTGATGATTTTTTGTAACGCTATAATATAATTGATTTTAATTTATATGATAATGATAATTGATTTTTATCTGTATAAATAAAAAGTTATATTTATAATATATTTTTATTTACTACTATTTGTTCTACGTAGTAGTGGGCGTTATATTACGAAAAATATATTTCAACATAGAACAAATATATAAGTTCTTGTTAGTTTATCATTTTAATTTCAAGTTCACAAACTTTTTTTATTCCATTATTTATTTAATTAGTTTATTGTTCCAATCATTAATTGACAGGATTTAATATTGTGATTGTTTAATGTTAATTTCAATTTCACAAGCTTCATTATATTTTAATTTAATTGATTGAATGTTTCAATTATTAATTGCATGGATTTAACCATTGTGTAATAGTTTAGTGCAAACTAACCAAGTGTATTTTTTTCATTCTAGAGATTTCGACGTAAACGTAGACCAAAATGTATATATTCATACTTTTAATTTTTTTATATGCACACCAAATTTATATTCTTCAATAATATTCTTTAATATTTATTTATTTTATATTTACGAAATAATATTTATATAATAATATAATAAGTAAAAATTCATATAATAAAATAATATTATATTGAAGGAAAATGAAATCGAGTCTATTTTGAGCATAATTTTTCATCCATATAATAACTCGTATTAACAAATCGTTTTTATTTACTTATTAGGAAGTAATGACTAATTTGTAATTGGACTGATACAAAACTTTGCTATTAAATTCAAATTATTTATATATAAATAGTAATTATGCACACACACACATTTTATTAAAATTTCAAAAATATTAATGATTATCTGTTAGATTATATATTTATTAAGATACTTTAAAAATGAATAAACAAAACGAAGAAGTGTCACACCTCTGGTTTATAATGTACTCCCTTGAAAATATAAGCATTATATTGCATACTAAATTATAAAAAAATAAATTAGATATCTACATTAATTTTTTTGTGGTTGTAATATATATTAATAATATAAAATAAAAAAGTTATATTTCTTTCACTCACCACCTCTTGTTCAGCATTTAAGGCTGACGCCATTTTCTTTGAATAATCATAAACGTCATTTGCATATGTCATTTTGAACCAAATCTTGACTTGCATACCGTTAAATTCAATTTTAAATATTATACGAAATTAAATGCGAAAAATGGCTTATATGTTTATAAATGATAAATATATTGTTATAAATCTTATTTATCAATTTTTATTTTCGAACATAATTTTAAATTCAAATTTTGTACATTATTTTTAATGTTGGCGACATTGCGAATTGAAAGGAGGTCTACATCAAAATGAAAGCAAAGCTATGGAACTCGATCGTTTCCGTACTTTCGGTCTTTAGTTCGTGGGCAATATGGGTGAGTGCTTCGTGAATAAGAAGTTTATAAATCCTTCGACATCTATTTTAATATATAAATTTATTTAATCATATTTTTATATCTGGAGTGTACTAAGTTTCTGGTGCTTTAAAGTTCACATATTTTTCATTAAATGGTTTTTCTAGAGGAATTACACGTTGTGGTTTTTACATTCATTTTAATGCCGCCACCTTGCTGAATATTATATTTATTTCATGTCGTCGGTTTTTGTACTTGTATTGATCAATGTTTTATCTAAATAGGTATCAGTCGTGATCATTGGCATAAACGACGTGCCACTGGAGGCAAAAGGAAACCTATCCGCAAGAAGAGGAAGTATGAGTTAGGTCGCCCAGCAGCTAATACGAAGGTATTTTGATTTTTTTCACATTATAAAATGTTCATGCATTATGTTATGATGATAAGAATATTTGGTTCAACCGACTTTTGTGCTGAAGACAAAACTTTTCCACAGCGCTCTGATATTTAGCTGCATAAAATTAAGTTTTAGTGACTTTGCTTGAGTATGCATTCATGTTTATTCTATTTTAGTTAGGACCACAACGTATCCACCTTGTTAGGACCCGTGGTGGCAATGTAAAACATCGTGCATTGCGTTTGGACACAGGAAACTTCTCTTGGGGATCTGAATGTAAGTCTATTATTAATGTGCATTTGAAGATCATACATTGTCTTACCATGATGTATGTTCTTGTCAGTAAGTTTCAATTTAGTCAATTCAAAGATTTACTGTCCTTGGAAAAGTAATTTGATTTGTGCTTTAGTCATATTAAGTATCATTACTTATTGTTTTAAATTTCAGGTGCAACTCGTAAAGCTCGTATTATTGATGTTGTATACAATGCATCCAACAATGAATTGGTCCGTACCAAGACTCTTGTAAAGAATGCTATTGTTGTTATTGATGCCACACCTTTCAGACAATGGTATGAAAGTCATTATGTATTACCTTTGGGACGCAAGCGAGGTACTAAGCTCACACCTGAAGAAGAAGCAGTTATGAATAAAAAACGCAGTAAGAAGGTATGTTTGCAGCTATATACAATTCTACACAATTCAATTGATAGATTTTAAATCATTTTACTGTTGCTCTGAATACGTTTTATGAACATTTACATTCTACACATCTAATTCCATGACTCAGTACCTTCTCAAAAAAGCACCTTGTTACAATTTTCATAGTTGCATAGGTTGTCAACGGGAAGAAGATCAATTCATATTATGGGTGAGATGATGGTTTATTAATGGCCATTTTATCTCAATATAATATGAAACATATTTTTTATGCATAAATTTCAATATGTAAATTGGTTTTATTGCATTCTAATGTATTAACATTTACAATTTGTTTCAGGTGGCTAAAAAATATGCAACAAGACAACGTGTTGCTAAAGTTGAGCAAGCTCTGGAAGAACAGTTTGCTACTGGTCGTCTATTAGGTAATTTTCTTCATTACTTTTACAAATTCATCAATCTTTATGATGATAAATTCTAAGCGATGCACAAATTGATAAATTGTTGTTTTAACATTTTATCACTGTGCAGTCCATGATTAGCTTGTCATAGTTACTCTGATTTAAATATTATAAAAAGTATTTACTTTTTTTAGTTAAGTCTACAGCTTTTGTTTAATTTTCAGCTGCTGTTTCCTCTCGTCCTGGACAATGTGGACGTGCAGATGGTTATATCTTAGAAGGAAAAGAATTGGAATTCTACATGAGGAAGATCAAGTCTAAAAAGGCGAAGTGATTATATTAATATAATGTGTAAAAAAAATTGGGATGAATAAAATAATTCCAGACAACTAATTTTTTTGATTAATGTTCTCATTTCAGTAGCTTATTAATTTAGTGCATTTTGTTTGAATTATATTTATTTGAAATTTTATTTTCTCAGTTTATTTATTATTAGTTTATATTTATTTCAGTAACTTTGAATTAAATAATTCAATGAATTAAACTTAATAAAAGTAAATGGAATGCTGTATCAATTCACATCAGTTTACAATATTTCAAATATGTATAAATTTCCTATTCCATCAAATATATTTTCATATATATCATTTATATATTAAAAGCAGCTTCAAGATATAGGGTTTTGTGTTATGTGAAACATATGTTTATTATCATATTATTATATTGTCTAGGTTTATTATATTTGCTAGGGTTTTAATTCATTAAGTCAAGCCTTCTCATAAGTTTATGAAGTCATTTGGCTTTGAACCGTCCGAAGTGATTGTAATGACAAAAATAATACCAATCTAACGAAATGCAGGTAATCTTTTAAACCTGTCATGTTTATTTATCTATGGCTGTACCCTAGTACATTAATTTTGAAACTGGCTGTCACTATTTGTTACGAAAATCTGACACTTCGTCAGCCTAATAAGAATTAACCATGGCTGCTAGTATATTAAATACAATTTTACGAAAGTCTAATAATTTAATAGCTCCAATATCATCCCTTAATTCAAATGGTGTTTTGCAAAATGCCATGTAAGTTCAACATAATTTATTATGTAATTTTGTGGTTATAAAACTTGCAAGATTTTTTAGTCATTTATTACTTTTATTTTTTAAGTATCGCAAGATGTGCAGGAAAGTGGTATCCGGATATCGAGTATTATAAACAGTTTGCTGGACCTGTTCTGTACCCTGATCCAAATGTAGAATACAAAATGATCCCATGGAACAGTAAGATCCAAACAGTTCAAGAATCTGTTTTTAACACATATTAAACTAAGTACTATTTAAGATATCTTTCTGTTCAGGTATTGAACATCCAGTTGAAAAGCAGGTACGTAACTTGCACTTGAATTTTGGGCCACAACATCCAGCTGCCCACGGAGTGTTACGACTAGTTCTAGAACTGGATGGAGAGGTAATTTTATTATAAATTTTTTTATAGTTTATTGAGAATGACATCTGTTTACTTTGTTCACAAACTTTAATCACAATTTGATTATTAATTTTACTTATGTGAATAAGACCAATATTATTATCTGTACTCGTAGGTTATATTAAATATCTTTTCTATAATTTTAGACAGTTGTGAGAGCTGACCCTCATATTGGCCTTCTACATCGTGGAACAGAAAAATTAATTGAATATAAAACATACACACAAGCATTACCATACTTTGATCGGTTGGATTATGTATCCATGATGTGCAACGAACAATGCTATTCTTTAGCTGTGGAAAAATTGCTGAACATTGATATTCCTTTGAGAGCAAAATATATCAGAAGTGAGATATATTGTAATATTTATTAGGTGTATTTTATATTCAAAAAAATATTTTTATAGCATTGTTTGCTGAAATTACAAGAATTTTAAATCATATTATGGCTGTGGGTACACATGCATTGGATGTAGGAGCTTTGACACCCTTTTTCTGGCTTTTTGAGGAAAGAGAAAAAATGATGGAATTCTATGAAAGAGTATCAGGCGCTAGAATGCATGCTGCTTATATTCGTCCTGGTGGTGTGTCACAGGTATTTTTTTCTGCAGTCTTATTACTTTTTACAATAATAATTCTTTATTTTTGAAATAATCTAATAAGCAATCTATATTTAGGAATAAAAATTGTTTTAATAAAGCAATTAAATTTTAATTTCAATGATAATAATCATTTATATAAATATACTAGGATATGCCAATTGGATTGATGGATGATATTTACGAATTTGCTTCAAAGTTTGCTGAGCGTTTAGATGAAGTAGAAGATGTGTTAACTACAAACCGATTATGGGTTCAACGTACTGTTGATATAGGAACCGTTTCTGCTGAAGATGCTCTGAATTATGGTTTCAGGTAATATTATCTGTAATAATTATTTAATTGATCACCATTGCCTTAATATATCAATTAATTTTTTTTTTAGCGGTGTTATGCTTCGTGGATCTGGTATTAAATGGGATTTGCGTAAAGTTCAACCTTATGATGCTTATGATAAGGTTGAGTTCGATGTACCTATTGGTACTAAAGGAGATTGTTACGACAGGTACTGATATTGTGAGAGTTTATAAATAAATGTGTTATATTTATGAAATTTTTCAAAATACAGATACTTGTGTCGTGTTGAGGAAATGAGGCAATCTTTGCGCATCATTGATCAATGCTTAAATCAAATGCCAGAAGGTGAAATTAAAACTGA